TTTAATGAGTGACACGCTCCAGGGGATTACCCATTTATTTCCTGGGAAGGAAAACAATAGGGTTTTTTTCCCTTCGGGAAAAAAACCTATTATTTTCAACTCCCCATGAAATAAATAATACTAACAGGAAATTATCACCCAAAGTCGATTCAAAATCGAAATCAGGCCCTCACTTGTGTTTGAAGAAAACCCAGTTTGAACCCTAATCCATCCGATGAGGAACAAAACGAATGATAATGAAAAAAAAGGACCTAGCAGAACATAATAACAAATTATAAAAAGGAAGACTATATCGATAGAAACGACAGATTAGAGAAGTCAACAACCAAAAAATAAAATAAATGGTTCATATTTTTTTTTCGGCCTGACGGCCGCCACCTGTAAATACTGTAAGAGGTGGAATGATTCACACTATTCTAAATTGTTTGTAGACGTAATATTGTCAATAAGATGTAGAAATACTACTATATAGTAAGGGGTAATTTGAGTTAAAAGACTCGCTATGACTAACTAAAATTAAAAAGAAAATTTGGCGATTGTAGAAGGTCCGCTTCCAGGGATTCAAGAAGAGGTTCCGGAGAAGGACATAATCGTTTCAAGTCTATAGTGCTGTGTGAAAAATTTAAATTGCGATTAGTAGCGACATTTCGCTTGTTAGGTCGTGCTTCAACTTCTTTCGTATCGTCCGATGTGGAGGAATCGGTATGGTTAAACGTATGACCAGCTTTCAATACTTGGCAAGCGTTAGGGAAGTGTTGTATAAAGTTGTTCATTTCTTTGTTTAATAAACGTTGGTGGCTAACTTTTTTCGTCTTTTTCGCTCTTTTTGCGAATGCGGTCATATTTGATGATAGTTGTCATTAAGTTTCATTAAATACTGTTCTTGTTGTTCGCGTCGTGTGAAACTTTTCACGTTCGTTCCATGGAAAGTTGCTTCGGCCTGTGCATCTCTTGCACGGGCTTCTCTTGAAGATTGTGTTGATGATAAATTATCTATACGTTCTTGTTCGGTGACCATATCAAGTTCATCTTCAAGTGATATAGGCATTTAAACGGGTCGAGGTAGTAGGCACTACAGGCTGGTTTGATTGTGGCAGAGGTGTCGTGATAGTTAACGGATCATTTGAAACGGCTGCAACATACCGTACTGGTATAAGTGTTAGTATTCTTTTCGGTAACTTTCCCAGAGGGAGTAGCATTAACTTTTATTTTTCGAAATGCAAAGAATGGGACCAGGTAGTTGTAGTCATTCGCGTCTGGTTCTGTAAAGGCTTTGGCGTATTTTAGGTGTTTGATCGGTTTGTTGACGTATTGTGATTTAAGAAAAAGAAATCTATTTTTTTTTAGCAGCGGCAAAGTTGGTCTTCAAATGTAAGTGAAGTTTGGGTTTTGATTTATTAAGGACGAGCGCGAGCGAGCATAGCAGGCTTTCTATATTATCACGTAGATTTTGCCGATCATTTTCAATTTTATCACATATCGTTATGATGCATCATATTGATTCTTTTGAATAGTTCTACATAATAATATATTCTCAAAATTTGCCAATGTTTTAATTTTATTATGTATTTTAAATATATTTATTTTTATTAAAAACCATTCATTATTGGTCAACTTTTATATGTAATAATATTTAATTTAACATAATCTCTCTATTATTTTTAATATAAATGTCTTGGTAGATTAAAATTTTACATAATAAATATACCTCAAACTTTCCAATCTATTAAATATCAATTTAGTATATCTGTGTATAAATTTTTATTAAAATTGGAAATAAAATAAGGGACTTTAATATGTACTGTTCGCTTAAAATTAAAATCAAAAATAATTCTTATAGCAAAATTGTAAATAATTTGACATACATGTACGCTAGAGACATGATTCTACATTTATTTGAAAGGGGAGAGTGAGGTCTATCCAGCGATTAAAAATCACGTAAATTGAATCACTGGTTGATGAATAATTTCGTCCAACATATTAATTTCCAATTATTGAACTTAATCATCAATATCTCCACATGTAATAATTTAATTTGAATGATCTTTAATTCTAAAATTAGTGTATATTTTCCTTTTCAAATAAATATAAATTGTTTATTTAGTATATACGAGAAATCAATGAATATAACTACAATCAAAACCCATTAAAAAATATAGATCATATTCCTTACTATAATAAAAAAAAAATCATAAGATTATTTTCATTTCATTTAAAAAATGTCATTTAAGCTTTTAGTAGGATGAAATTGATGGAACATATGAAATAACTTCGTCCTAAAAGAAGAGTGAAAAAACATATATAATTAGTTTATTAAAAAAAGGAAAAAAATTACTCTGAAAATCCTATACCAAAAAACTCTCCCTTTATTCTGCAAAAATATTTGGTCAAAATATTTATCTTGTCGTTTTATTTACTTTAATAGACCATTATAGAAGTAAACTTTTAAAAAATAACAAATTATAATTACTGTATATTGAATAAGAATAAATATAAATTAAATAAAAATAATTATAAAATATAATATTACTATTTTATGCGAAACTTTAACATACTTGTAACTTCTGAATTACCTCTCCAATATTCAAATTATTTTGCGAGGTACTTAAAAAGAGTTTGCAGTATTGAAATATGCATGTAACTTTTGCTATTAAATTTTTTGTGGCGCTATTTAATTAAGATAGTGAAAGTGAAGATATCACGAATTTAAGTTTTGTGTAACATCACGAGATCTAGCTAATAAAAATGCGTACACTTGTGTCAAACAATTACGTAATTCATAATTATGATACCTAACAGATTTTGCAATTTTATTTTTATATAACATTTCGTTAAAATTATTTTTTTTAATGGAAAATGAAAGTGATCGGCAAAGTGATCGGCAAAGTGATAATATAGAAAGCATGCTATGTTGGACGAGCGTTGAAATCGTTTTTATTGCTTTTTCCGAGTATTCGGATTGGGGCTAGGCGAGAATCGAAATTTAATTATTTTTTTCGATACATAAGTCTATTTCCCAATTTTAAGATCGAGTTAGAGTCGCAGGCGTGAATCGACTCTTTATAGGAGATACCCAATCTATCTGAAGTGACATGTTTTTGTTGTCATAATATCCAACGGTGAAATAGAAGATTAGCATGTGAAGATTTGTCGTTAATAAAGTCGTTGGTAGTGTCTTTCACAACTGTGGGATCAGCTGTTTTGATATTTTTGAACATCTGTTTTAAAAAAATTTTTTGATGATTGACGCAAGCGCGTCGGTATTGTAACATAACGAACGAGGTCGGATTCTTGCAACTTTTGTAAGAGAAGTTGAAAAAAGTTTTTGTGATAGTGTTGCGTTTGGCGTTACTTGAGCCACGTAATATTAACTGAGCGGCGCGTTCCAATAATTTTTTACGAATCATGTTGAAGTATTTTTGTTGAATTCGGCGTGGCGTGGTATAACTCTTTGTAAGGAAAAAAAATGTGTTAACATACAGCTCAATTGGTATTTGTAATTCGGATACGAACTCGTGTTCTTATAACTAGACGGGGTCGATTTCATATGATAGTCGTTGGTGTGTATCTTTAGATTAATATCTGATGACGATCAACTAATTCACTTCTCGATCGCCTGATCTTCTTGTAACCTGAACGTTTGGGTCTATCACGTGAAATTTTTTCAGGGAGACCTGAAGGGAGTTTTTTGTTTCCGAACATGAGAACGGTGATAATGAGGACGACATGTCTTTGTGATAATAACTAAAGAGGTATAAAAATATATATTATAAAGTAGGGGACGTACAGGCGACAATAGAAAGATAAATTTGAGGCGTTCGTAAAGGAATACTATATTAAAAGTATGTTTAAAAAGACTTTGTCGAGCTAGTCAACTGTATAATTTTATTAAAAGTTTAAAACTTTTACCATATGTATATACTATAAGATATGGAATGAAGTGTCGTATTCGCGAGTTGTTTGTGGTTTAATAAAAACAAACGAAAGCAAGTGATAGAAGACTATTTTTTAAAAATTTCTATTGCGCCATTTAATAAATTGAAAAATTGCGGAACAGAAAAATTGATCAAAAATCAAATTAATTTAATTAACGTTTTTATAACTCGTGATCGATCAATTAATTGACCCAATCAATTACCAATCTATCTCGCTCAATTTGATTAAGAGCTGATTTCTCCAGCATAAATTCCTAACAATATTATCAAATTTTTTTTATTTGCCGAGCTGATAATCCTAAATTTTCCTTTTTTTTCAATAAATCAAAATAATTTAATTATTACAATACAAAATATTCGATAATTATTCACTTCAATGTTAACTAAAAAATGGATGATAAAAATATTAAGTTTTTGACGAATTTGCTACAATGGATATACGGCTTTAACTTCTAATGTACTATCGAAGTTTTTAATTGTTTAAAGATAAAATATTTAATTGATTTGCAACTTAACTAAGCAGTTAAAGGATTTGTGACTTTTTACGTCTTATTTTTTTGGGGTTAATTTATAGATAATCTGTGCATAAAATCATAATATATGATAACTTTTTTTTTCTAAAAGCTAATGAAAAATTTTGATTTTATTTTGTGAATTGAAAATTTTTTTATTTGCGCATTTTCAAGTACGACAATTTCTGCCAAGATTTATTCCTATGTGTAAGATTATTATCATTAACAATTTTAATTACAAATTTTTAAAATTAACTTTATTATAGTTAAAAGTCTAATATAAATTTAGCTAATAAAGTGACTTTAATTTGTACTATCATCGAAATATTAATCTTTTTTTCTTAATATAATAGAAGAATCGAAATCAGCATTAAAAAATTTGAATAATTCAAATGGTACTAATTCATTAAAAGTTTATTACAATACTGTAATATTTACTAATAATAACTTAAAATTTATCAGATAACAAATTATAAGCTAAGAAATTTTATATATGAAATCTTATTATTCTAATCTTAAGTGTTGAATTTTTCGATATCTAAATGTTTTTGAAAAAATTTTTTATCATTTGCGATCGAATATTAGGGTTATTGTGATTTTCATAAAAAAAAATGTTTCGTATACCATCATTAACTAAGGATCATGATAATTTTATTCTATTTGATATTATCTTTCTTATAAGTATTGATTTTATGCTAAATTATAAAGAAACTTATAAGATGTTATTGTAAAAAATTTGACAATCCAACCTATTTATTATAAATAAATTTTTTTGTACATAATATTTACGTCACTTCTTGTCATACTTTCATGAGGTTAAAGTCAACTTGTTGTAATAAATTCATGTATAACGAATGGAATAATCTGTCGTGATTTTACCATAAATTTACGTTAAGGTATTTAATTTTCGCCAATATATGCCCAATAAATAGTTTTTGTATAAATTTATACCAAACGGGCTCATTGGCTCTAAATTAGCTCAAATTTATGCAAAAATTAATCCAAATTTAAGCCAATCTAGAGCCAATTATATATGGATGAGCCCATTTGGTACAAATTTATACAAAAACTATTTACTGGGATGGTATTATACATGTAATAATTTACATAAATTTATTAAAATTATTTAAATTACAAACTAAGAATTTTTGTAAAACATTTACTATTCTAGTCTTAGTGTATAAATAACCTAAATAAATAATAATAGATGGATAAATAAATGATAATAATTTAAAATATAAAAAAATATATTGTTAAAAGGCAATTCAAAATCCATCTAAAGTTAAAAAATAACAAATTATAAATCAATTATTTGCTTTAAAAAGAAATTTAATTTATTTAAGAACTTACGATCAGGAATTTCCAGTTCATCTTGTTCTTCTGAATGAAGATTTGGATTATTATATACTTCGTCATCATCTATAAGAAAATAAACATAATTAAAATAGTATAAAAATTGTTTGTTATTACGTAAGATTTTCACCTACCATCGACATGTTGTTGAGTTATTTCCTTTTCATCATCTAAATTTTAAATGAAGGTCGCGTTAAATAACGAAATTGATATAGTAATTTTGTTCGTTAGTAATTAATTTACTTACTATTTGACTTTATTTGCAACTTTTTAAATAATTTAGATAATTTTTTATTACTATCTAAAAATTAAAATATAGATTTAATATATAAATCAATCTCTATTTGACAATAATTAAAATACATTACCTCTAAAAATAGTAATTACTTTTGATGATTTGCTATTTCGCTTATTTGATTTATTAAAATCATTAACTAAAATAAATATCAATTATTAAACATCATTATGTAATAATTCAATGCTGTAATGTTAATAAATACTTACTATCGCGAGGAATGTTAAAATCATACAATTTACTATGAAACACTATTAGTAGTAAAGTAATGTATTTTAAAAATTAAATTATTATAGTCACCAAAAAATGGTAAAAATTATTGTTTATATGGTTATACCTTCTTGTTCTTCTATTATAATAAAATGATAATATTAATAATGTATTTTAAAATAAATACATTCATTAATAAAATATTATAACTTATACCTTCTGTTGCATTTCTTGGTTCAGATAGATTTTCAAAGTTGTGAATTTTACTTGTAAATAATCTGCTATTCGTATAATTTTCTTCTACTTTATTCATTTCTAAATTATCTATTTCTGATTTGAATAATTCATCTGACATATTTTGAAATTAATTTTATGCATTTTTCTCTCAAGTGCATTAACGTTGGGTCTTTTTAATGGATCAGCATCCCAACATTCTTTCATTAAATTTTTATATTCTAATGGAGTTCTTGGCACGATTTTTGGTCTTATACCGTTAATAATATTCATTACAATATCATTTTCATGTTCATATTTTATAAATGGTGTTTGTCCAGATGAAATTTCCCACATAAGAATTGCAATACTATAAATATCTGATGCAAAAGTATATTCTCTTCCAACAATAACTTCGGGTGCTATGTAAGGAAGATTTCCATATATACTTGTTGAAGATTTATCAGCAGGTCCACAAAATCCAAGATCACTGATACACCACCGATCATTAAATTGAGAATATAATATATTTCCAGAATGTAAATCTCTATGAATTGCTTTCTCATCATGAATATAACTAAGTGCAAGTATTACTTCATAAGTAATATTAATTCTATCTTTCCATGTAAGTTGATTATGATTTTGTTGTAAATATTTTCTTAAATTTATATCCATTTTATTCATTACAAGCATATAATTTCCATTTGATGGATTTTGCGTTAAACCATAACATCGAACAACATCCGCCCATTTATTACTTATAGTTAAATGTGATTTAGCCTAAAAAGCAGTAATTTGTAAAAATGCTCATATTAATATAAAACCTGCATAATTTTATACAATAAATTTAGAATATAATTATACAAACCTCTTCAAACCAACTTTGATTTGCATTTCTAAAGTTTTAAGTACTACTTCTGCCACCATGTTTTGCATTCCAGGTCTTTCAATTCTTTTTAATTGTTTTTTTTCAGAATCCCATTCATCATAACCTCCATTAATCCAATCTGCTGTATAAATTTCTGAGAATCCACCTTTTGTTAAATATTTTATATTTTCTAAATTACTATATGGGATCCATTCAACCACCATATTTGGCATAAGTGATTCCATTTGACATTTCTGTATTAAATTATCAATATCATCATTCCCAGATGTCCAATTTGGAAAATTTTCTTGTAAATAATTTCGAACACAATATTCACAATATAATGTAGCTAAACATTCTTGGTTACAATTTTCACAAATTCTTTTTGTTCCTGAATTAAAAATAATTTTATTTCGATCATAAGTTTTAGTTAACCATCTTATTGCATAAGTATTTTCGTCATTTCTAAGAATTTTATCAGCAAGGACTGTTTGTTTTTGAAATTCAAATCGTTTGTGTATATCATCGTAAATATTAGTATCTGTTAATGTTATTGCTCTATTAGTTGTTGCAGCAATTAATTCATATCGAAGAGTGGACATAATGTAATCAATAAGAAAGAAAGATATAATTATTTTAAGTTCGTTACTACGAGATAAATTAGTAAAATGCAAATTGTTGATCAAACTTCATGCCCACATAAATTTTGTGATCTTGAGGCGTAGTATTTTACGCCTCATAATCAAAAAAAGAAAAATATTATCGTACTTCAGTTTCTAATTTTAATTTTATTTATTTATTTTTTTTCAGCAAATACAATTTGTGTTTAACAAATTTGATATACTTAATGAATAGATAATATTCAGTTCCTTGATTATATTGATTAATATTCAAATAATTTAGTAAACGAAAATCAATGATTGTTATTCAACAGATTATTAATTTGTAGTTATTTTTAAATCTTACTTAAAAAACAATATATTGTTGATGAACGGGACAATTTTTCTTTAGTTATTTTAAATTGAATTTATTTTAAATAAATAACATGGTGAATAATGAACATGAAAGATTATTAAGTAATCATTCAACTTATTATTCTACTAAAAAAGTCTATATATTATAATGATAGGTTTGAATAAAATATATATGGTTAGTAAAAAAAAAAAAATAAATGAAGAGATAATTACATCATTATGTGTGTTACTTTAACAATTTAGTATAAATAATGAATAGATCAGGCGTAGGGATTTTCATATTATGGCACGATTTTCATATAAATTCTTACGTATTTTATTTATCGATAATCTGTGAAGTCTAACTTTATTTTGCATAATCTGGCGTTTAGAATAGCCTCCATGTAAATAATTTGAATTGTGTAATAAGATTTTTATATCAAGAATGGTTACTCGTGAGATTTAGTACATCATTGTCAACCAGATAAAGAAAGCTTTTAAGATGAAGTTTGGATCATCTATCCATTTAGTTTGTGGGCTTGACCGAGATGAGCAAAACTTAAATGACAAGAATGGGCTCTATTAATAACCGTAGACTGATATTATAATAACTAAACTATTGTACTACTAAACAATCAATGAATCGATAAATGAAACTTTTTATGGCAAAAATGGTTCATTTTACTATATCGATGCCAATGCAATGTTAAATGTGTGAATTTTCTATCATTGTTGATTAAAGTACTTCATTTATAGCGAGAATGAACATGCATAAGCTATACTATTCTGAGATTTATAAAAGCAAGAGTATAAGCGTGACATATCTGCCGATCCGCAGAACGCATAGCATCGAATTATCACTTGCATTCTGCAGATCGGTTAATATAAATGCAACGTGACTGACTTTCAAAATTAAGGAAATAAAGAAATACATATACCATAAATGTCAGATAATTTTACAGAAGTTTTTAGAGAAGTTTTTAACTGACATAATTCATAATTTTTTTTTTATATATTTATGGATTTACGACAATCAAGTGAACTAATTGATATTATCGGAATTGTGATTTTTTTTTTTAGGGTCGTTTATTGTAAATCGCCCTATTAAATGATTTATTACAGATTTACAGGGTGTGTTTTGTCCGAAAAATGTTGAGGTAATATACAGAAAATGTACCGAGAATGCCGAAAGAAAAAAAAATACACTATACAGTCAAACCGGCAAAAGTTCGGTATATATATAGTAGAAGCTCATGTAAGATTTAACAGTATAAATTATGTGAAATTTCAACCACGTGATCAAGTTCGGTATATGAAGAATTTTTTTTATATGCTTTATTATAAACGGTAAATCTTCTTTCCAGCTTCACATAAAATAAAATAAAATAAATTATAAACGGTAAATCATAAAAGTTCGGTATACGTTATTTCGAGTTTATATGAAATTTGGTATATCGAGATTTTTTTAAATAATATGAACCCGGTTTTCAAAAAAAAGTTCGGTAAGTCAAGAGTTCGTTATATCGTGGGTTCGTTTATATATCGAGGTCAGACTGTATACAGTCAGACCGATATCCTATGTACTGATAATTGCAAGTACCGATAAATTTTCCATGTTCTGTTTCACAACTAATAAAAAAACCTCGTTATACCAATATTATATATACTGTACTGTATTCCGATTTTTTTTATTTATTTTATCGAAACGTTTTTTAACGTTTTGAAATTTTACCGTTGTACCGATACTTTAAATTACACTGATATTAATTTGGACCACACTATAAATTTGGCCAGAGTTGAAATTATACCATAAATTGTTACCATTTCATGGTAAGGTTTTAGATAAAATTTTCTATAAATTGTACAATTGCATAATTAAGTCAGCCAATAACTGAGCAAGAGAAATTTTAAACTTTTAATAAATCAATCAAATATAATAATAATAACTTTAATTTTCGATTATACTAATTTAATTTACATTTTGGTTTTGATTTAGTTTTTGGTGTCATTACCAACTATTTTGAGAAATAAAAGAAATAAAGAAAGTATTATTTAGAATCACATCAAATAAGGAAATCCTAATTTTACTTGTTACCAAAATATTCATTTATATTTTGATTTAATAGTAAATTAATATAATAGATAGAAGATTATTCTTGCCATAAAAGTTTCCCCATTTTTAGTTGATAATAATGATGTAAGAGTCACATTAGTCTCATTAGAATAAATTGATTTGATAGCTAGATAGATGATCCATACTTTCTAAACTTGTCACAAAAGTTTCCTTATCTTGGTTTATAATGATGTAAATCTCATAAAAATAATCTCAATAACCATTCTTGCTATATAAATTTTACAATTTTGTCGATCTAAAAACTTATAATACCATTTTTTTTAATAAAAACCACGCATTAAATTCTTTATCGAATATTGATTGTTAAATCTACTCAAGTAATAATTATTATTTGTATCATGGATCAATCAAATATAGAAGAACAAAAATATGGAAGATGTATAGGATGTAAACAAATAAGTACATCACTCTTATGTTATACTTGTGATTCACTTTTTAAAGAAAGAAAATCTGGAAAGTGTATAGTATGCAAACAAATAAAGCAAAAAGCTAAGGGAACAAGAACATGTCATACTTGTTATTCAACTTCTCTAGAACAAAAATATGGAAAGTGTATAGAATGCAAGCAAATAAATACTGGAATTGATTGGTGTCAAACTTGTAATTCAAAAAGATTTCAACAAAATTTTAACAATTGGACTAGTAATAATGATGATATTGATAAATTTATTCAAAATATTCAGTTATCAGCAAGAAATAAATATCAATTATTAGAGTGGATACCCTATGATAGATTTTCTGAAGTTGTATATGTTGCAAAAGGAGGATTTGGCAAAGTATATAAAGCAATTTGGCAAGATGGCAAGATATCACATTGGGATGTGAGTAAAAATCAATGGGAAAGAAATAGTGTGCGTATGCACGTAGCTCTTAAAAGTTTAAATGACTCTCAGAACCTCAAATCACAATTTATCAAGGAGGTAACAAAATTGGGTTATTGAATTTTTTTTCGAAATATTTTTGTTTTGCAAATTATAATAAATTTTGATAATTTAGATTACGTCACAACTCAAAATAGTTGAAGATAGACCACTGAACCAATTTATTAGATGCTATGGAATAAGTCAAGACCCAAATACAAAAGAATATATCATGGTTATGAAATTTGCTGATTGGGGAGGTTTGCGAAATTATTTTGATAAGAAAGAAAAATATGAAAAGAAATCGCGTGAAGAAAATATCCTCTATTTGAAATTGAGACGTAAAATTATTGTTATGAATTGTATTGCAACTGGGCTTAAGAGAATTCATGTAAAAGGATTAATTCATAGAGATTTACATACCGGAAATATAGTATGTTTTAAAAGTATGATTTGTATAACTGATATGGGATTATGTAAACCAGCAAATTATGAGGAATTAGAAAATTCAGAAAATAATGCGTATGGCGTTTTACCTTATGTAGCACCTGAGGTTTTAAGAGGAGAACATTATACACAAGCATCCGATATTTATAGTTTTGGCATAATTATGTATGAGGCAATTTCGGAAATGCCTCCATATTATGATATTAATCATGATGAAGTTTTAGCAGTAGAGATCTGTAAAGGGTTAAGACCCAATTTTAATATTAAAGTACCACAATTAATCATTGAATTAATAAAGAAATGCTTAGATGCAAAACCATCAAATCGACCAAATGCAAAGGATCTTTCAAGAATTTTTAAAGAATTAATGATAGATTTTAATAGACGTAAACCAGAATTAATTAAACAAATTGAAGAAATAAGCAATAGTTTATCAGATTTACCTTCAATAAATAAAATGAATACGATGCATTCTGGAGCTATATATACAAGTAGATTACTTAGTTTTAAAAATCTTCCCGAACCGAAAAATTCTGATGATTATTATGAATATTTTGATAATATAACAAGTATGAAATATTCAGGTATTTATAAAAAATCTTACCTTATTACTCATTCAATCTACTTATATAAACTAATATTTAATAAATATTTTTATGTAATGACAGAATGTTTGGATTGTGAAGTTAAAGATTGAAATAGAAATGTGTCATTTTATGTTCTTGGATTTTTGATGTGGTAGTCACTTAGCACAATTATATAGTTTCTGTTTAACACGCACTGATTATGTGAACTTCTTTTTTTCATAAATAAAATCAATTTGTGATATGTTTATTAAAAATTATCACCGATGAATTTTTAGTCAGTATAAACGTAGTAAATTCTAATTTTAAATGTGGAAATACTATTCGTAAAAAATCCAGATACCATGAAGAATAAAAGTATGAAGCATAAAGCATATAAAGTATATAAAATTACCATTAAGGACTAGGCCATGATTGGGCGAAATTCTTGGTTAATATGATTTTCTAGTTAAAATTGAAAAAATTGAACTATATACAAATAAGTCATTTTGGTATTCTGCAATGGTCGCCCATGATCAGTTACCAGTCAGTCATAACTGGTAGTTAAGAACCTTTAACCAATTACTGATCACTTTAGTTGACCATTTAACCGACCGTTTGACAACAAACTCTATAAATAATTTGAATTTGTGTAATATAGAAACGCGTGATATGTCCGTGCCTGATCTATTCCATAATTATTATAATTATTATGGCCTGTCTGGTCATGTATACATTCTGATCCAGTTCCGGTTAATGAAATTTTGATTGGATATTATTTATAATACTAACAATAATTTATTTATTTCTTTTTTTTTTTGATCAGCATGTTTTTTTTTTTTAAACCGAATTCCTTTTTTTTTGTATTATTAATATTTTTTATTTTTTATTTTTTTTTTTTCAAACCCGACTTATTTTATTTATTTTTTTTTTTCTTCAGTTTTTTTTTTATTTTTGGTTTTTTTCAATGCCAATAATAATTTTTTTCGATCAGGTTTTTGTTTTTTCAGTCACCGAATATAAATTTTTTAAAATTATTTTCTATTTATTTTCAATACTGGAAAATAATTTTTTTAATTTTTTATTTCAGTCTTTTTCAAATACCGAAAATAATTTTTTTTTAATTGGTTTTTTTTTATTTTTTTGATTTAAGCTGAAAAATTTAATTTTTTTTAATTTTAACTGATCTTTTTCTTTTAATTATCGCAATATCAAATATATAATATTTAGTACAGTGGCTATCAAAAAATTAAGTTTGAATTGTGTAATGTGTAGTATGCTGCGTCAAATCTACTAATAGATCGGTAGAGAATGCCAATAATTTCTTCTATATCAACATGAGATCTTTTCTGGTGTTTTTAAGTTTCTTTATTGGGTTCTAGAAGTACTATGTGGGTTAGACTTTCAATAGTATTAAAGAAATGTAGTAACATTCTTTTTTTTTTGTTTTTAGACTACTCATCACTGGAACATTCTATAGACTTGAACGAACCTGCACTTAGGTACTGTATATAGAGGGATGTTGGGTATAGCAATAATATACTGCCATATTTAAATTTTTTTATGTAAATTTCATATGATGTATACTGACATTTTTACTAAAATTAAACAATTTTGGAGCAATAGAAGCAACGGATGGCTGCCAGTAATTAACTAAAGTTAATTATTTTTTATTTTGTTTGATATTTTGGGATTGTCTCAGTTTATAATAGGTATTTGGCGTTTATTTTTTAAAAAACAATCAAAATAAATTAATTAAAATTTCTTTTTTTATTCTCGGGCTTTAAACAAATGAAATCAGTTTATCTTTGAACTTAAATGACTAAGCATCAATTGTAATTTTGCTTAATATAACGATTTTATTACGAGCAAATTTTTAATAAATAAAAACTCGCTCTTGATTACTTACTTCTCTTTATTCTTTAGCAGTAGCAATGCAATAGCATCATCTTTATCATCTTTTAAATTAAATTATTTTGACGCGCTTTTTTGATTTTGTCTAGAGTGTTTTATATATTTTAATAACTAATCCATCTTTAAATTCGTTATATTTGTTATATTTGTAGTATTTTATATGTTTCTTTGATAGTTTTTAATTTTTATCTATCTGGAGTATTTAATGAACTCGTTTTTTATTAATTAATTTTGCGTAATACTTGAAGAAAAAAATGAAGGTAAAAAGTTTTGAACTAAAAAATGGAACAAAAAGTAAGAAAAAATTGCGAGTAAAAATAATATGCTGGAAATTAGATAACTACAATTTATTTCGAGAGAAGAAACCCTGTAAAAAAAAAATGTCCGGAAATTGTAGCTAAAAACATCCGGAAAATGTCCGTGTGTCCGGAAAACGTCCAGAAAATTGCAATATTCCGGACACTTTCTGGACGCTGGGTCTGAACCCTCCTAGACATTTTCTGGACATTTTCCGGAAAATGGAAATTTTCCAACGTCCGGAATATTGCAATATTCCGGACATATTCCAGACAAATAAACATTTTCCGGACGTTTTCAGCTACAATTTCCGGACATTCTTTTTTTATAGGGAAATTTTATTGGAAACTTAATTCAGAATATAATAATAATAATAAGATGAATGAAAATTATAGAACAAATCCTAATAATAGATTTGTACAAACAAGACATGATCTAATTGTAATAAATATACTGTAGCAAAAGAGTGTTGGCACAACAATAATAGGCTTCAAAGAGGTGCAAACACAAGTAAATTAATTTGCTGTACGTGCGAAAATTCTCTGGAAGTATCACAGTTAAATGTTCAAGAAGCACGAATAGCTGATCACACATGGCGCAACGGCTCTTATGTTCTTGTGTACACCCTCCAAACGCGTATAATAAGCAGTGGTTAATTGCATCCGTATGTGATACTGTGCCATCTTCATTTACAATAAGCTCATTTTCGAAACCTCATTTTAGATGATGGCGTAATTTTTCAAGTTCATTTACTAGTGAATTCTTGAGTTTTTGAGATTTTTATTTTTTTTAAAAAAAATAAAAATTAGAAAATAATATTTATTTCCAATTTTTTATAAATAATAAATTCAAACAAAATTTTGTTACATAATATTCTCATTGTATACCTGTGATTCCTTTTCTACATGTAATCGTACCAAACTAATTAACGTATTAAACACTCCATAATAATATTCACCGCAAATATTACATGGCCCACCCAAATCTTTTCGATACACATATTGACCACTTGCCAAATGTACCATAAAAGAGGTCCTCATTATTCCATCAGGATATCCTCAAATTTTTGCCATAGAGTTTCTTTATCTTTTAGATGTAGTAACAGTAGGTTAGTTTCAGATCAACATGATAAGAGCTCATCGTGACATTTTTTTGTCAGAGAAATCAATTCTCTATCTTTTATTTCGGAGATAAAATTTAAAACTGATTTGCACTAATTAAATCGTTTGAAGTCAAAAAAGAAATTGTAGTAAGTTTATTTCATTTATGAAATAACAAACGACATCATATTCAAACTTACTTGCAATTTTTATTGTATTTCTCTAAATCCAAACTTTTGTGTTATAATAGAAAGAATTCGTTGCTTTCCATCTAATCTGCATTTATTAACTTTGATCGCTTCTTTGATTGTTTTCTTTTATAAATTCGACTTCATTATTATAAACACCATTTAGCAAATTCTTACTAAATAAGTATGGAAGTGTGGTACTGTCACTACTGGAATTCACCGCGCACGTCCAAAATTCAGGCTATATAAAAGTAAATTTTTTTTTTTTAGTAAAAATCTGATTCAATTTTTAACTACGTGATTATATCAGATCGAATTTTATGAAATTTTAGTATAAATGGCTAATTACAAAAAAACTTACCTTCGATTTTTGCTTTTTATAAGGCGTTAAATTCGTACAACCCACGCTTTTCATCATCTTCCTCCAAGCACGTAACTCCCAGTTCTGACCTACACTGACTATGAACAAAAAAAGTAAAAAATAAACTCAACCAAACGCGGCCCATTTCGAGCTCTCACGTAATGGTTGTGATTCTTAGATAGTTCATAATAAAGTAAAAAAACCATTAACAATAAACATACCAAAAGTGAATACAAATTTCTTAATCAGCACGGCAGATCACTGACTCTGACCTACACTGACTATGAATAAAAAAAGTAAAAAACTCAACCAAACGCGGCCCATTTCGAGCTCTCACGTAATGGTTGTGGTTCTTTAGATAGTTCATAACAAAGCAAAAAACCATTAACACTAAACATACCAGATCACCGGTTCTGACCTACACTATGAACAAAAAAAGTAAAAAATAAACTCAACCAAACGCGGCCCATTTCGAGCTCTCACGTTATGGTTGTGATTCTTTAGGTGATTCATAATAAAGTAAAAATCATTAACACTAAACATATCAAAAGTGAATACAAATCTCCACTTTTAAAGATTAACCTTGGGGTGGGTTCCCGTATGATGGGACCTGGTCATCTATTTGCAACCCTTTAAAGCCGTCTGGCCAACACGGTGTGCAGTCAAAGATTATGGCCAGTGGGTCGGAGGCAATGTTATTATCCGTAAAAGCCTTTTGTTGTTCGTATGGACCATCCCGTCAACTTTTTTTTTGTTAGAGAGTTTAGTTTTATCCATAAAAGACTTTAATTGTTCGTATGGACTGTCCCGACACCTTTTTTGTTATTAGAGTTTAGTTTTATCCATAAAAGACTTTTATTGTTCGTATGGACTGGCCCCGTCATCCTTTTTTTTGTTGGAGAGTTTAGTTTTATTCATAAAAGCTTTTTTGTTGTTCGTATGAACAGTCCCATCATCTTTTTTTGTTAGAAGAGCGGAACAGAGTTTTTTTATTAGGTAGTAGCTTTTTTGTTAGGAAGATGTCCCCTTTTTATATTATTTTCTTATCCCGTGATATAAGTCTATCAACCATGACGTCATCTTTACTATAATTTTAAATGGCCGAGCTATCATATGACTAAAAAGGTATTGAAATCATTGCGTCACGACTCACGAGTTTTTTTTTCTTTCAAAAAAAAAAAAAAATTGATAAATTTGTAACCCCAACTTTTGTATAACTTATTCTTAATGAACAGCAAATTTCCATATCGGTTAGACTATTTGCCTTAAAATACAGCGGAGAGTCAAACCTAGAAATACAAATATGCATGATCGCATGATCAATTTAATCAATATTAGCAAAATTTTAATGTAAGAAAGTTTATCATCTGAAAATAGATGATAATTACACAGCCTCAAAAAAAAAATAAAATAAAATAAAATTCCGACCAAAAAAATCTTTTCATCTAATCAAATTATTCTAACCATGATAAATATGGAATAGATCAGGCGTAAAGGTATCACGTGTTTCCTTAAGGCTATTTATAATTTTATACAGAGCAAGCGATGACATTACATGCAAATATTATATTAATAATATGTAACTTACCTACAATAATTTTATAAATTAATAATTTTGTTAGTTTAAATTAGCAGTCACCCGTTACTTCGCACTGACATCAATGGTTTTAAACCATTTAATAAAGTATGCACAAATAAATTACATTCATGATAAGAAAAATCATAATATCTATGAAGAATTTAAAATATATAAATATAAATTGAATTTCTTAACCATTTAATAATTGTAATAATTGTTGACAATAAACTTTTACCAAAATTATCACAAAATTTGCTTGAAATCTTTAAATGATGAAGATATTATGATATTACAATTGAAGTTGACAATGTCCCTGACGTAAAATATTTCGTGCTCATATGATTATTTTAAATTATCGTTCCCCTTATTTACGAAGAAGTTTTATCAACAAATAAAAAGAGGAATGATGAAACTTTGGCGCACCAAATATTTCACCTGAAATTTTTAATGTGGTTAATGTGGTTTTAAGGTAAAAAAAATATATATATATAAAATAAATATTTATAATTATTATACTTTATTATTCAAAAGTGTTTATTTTAGATATATTTATGGAGGGAAATTATCTTTGGGAGAATATGAGGTTTAGGATATCATCGAAATCTTGGTCACTGCTAATGAACTTGGCCTTCAAGAATTATTTCCTTATTTAAAAACCTTTTTAATTAAAAGAAAATTTGATCGAATGGAACAAAACTTTGATTTGATATATCGAACGAGTTTTGAAAATAATTCTTTTACATCTTCAAAATACTGTACTAATTTAATCACTAATCAATTGAATGAATTACAAGTCTGGGAACATGTGATTATATGGGGACTTGCTCAAAATCGGGGACTTCCATCTGACATTGAAAACTATTCAAAAGATGATTTCAATGAAATATCAGAACCTGGGATAGGATCATCAATAAGACCAAAAAATATTGATTCTACAATCATTATATTTCAACATGTTGAATTAATCTCAAAATGGATTGATAGATTAGAGAACACGGACAAGATATGAATTTAAATTAATTTCTCGTGGATTTCGTGACGGATGTACGGTTAAAAAATTCCATGAAATTTGTGATAACAAAGCCCGCACTGTTACATTTATTAAAGTTAAAGACGGTGATAAAATTTTGGGAGGATATAATCCGATTGAATGGAAATCTAATAATCTTTATGGTATTACTAAAGATGGTTTTATATTTCTTTTAGAAATAATGATTATATTTTAAGTCGCATAATAAATGAAAGGAGCGCTACACGTAACTGTTGGAATTACGGTCCATCATTTGGAAATGGTGATTTGTGATTATATGGGTTAAATATTAGTTGCACAAAATAGAAGTTTTATTATAGAAGTTGAGTTTCAAATTGTATAGAATTAACGAAAAATTCATAATATTTAATTTTATAGTTTCTTTTTTCATATTAGATTGAAATATTTTATTTTTTGTAATTTCAAAGGATAAATTTTATTGATTAAAATACTTGCTATAATCTTTTATATAGTATCGTTTAGCCATTCCATTATTATGGGAAGACACATTTTCAATTAAAAAACTTAAAAATTATCATTTCATTGAAATTTATTTACAATATTTAGAAGAAAAGGTAAAGAAAAATTACAAGATTATGGTATTAATAAAAATTTATTTCCTTTAAATACATTATTCAATTATCTTAGTTTCATTAAACATTTAAATACACAGAATGTTATTACAATTATTAAACTGTGAGTTAGAAATTCATCAATTAGAGAAATTGGAAAGCAATCAAATCAAACTTACATTACAGAATATAATCTTTTAAATTTATATATGAATCATTATTTAAGATATTTATTGAAAGAGAAACAAATTTGAATATTTTTGACATTTTTATCTTATCAAATGATGATTGTGATTATTTTAATATTGTTTTTAAATTAATTTTACAAAATCAAAGTTTCATTTATAATATCAAAAATTTAAATTTCAACATTTATCCAACACGCATAAATATAACAACAATTATCCTTTATTTAAAATCAATTAATATAATGTCGTTATGATCAATATTTTAATATAATTCATTTACCACATGTATCTAATTCCAGAAACTTAAATTATTTATTTACTTCATTCAAAAATTCTAATATTTTGAATACTTTAAAAATAATTACTTTTCGTAATATTAGTTTTAATGACATTTTTGCTTTTAATAAAATATTTGAACAATTAAATTTTAGAATCTACTCATATTATTGATTGTGACTCTTTAAATTCTTTTATTCAACGAATTCTTAATATTACCAAACCTTTTAAATTAAAAACTTTATTTATGAATAATGAGTTACTGAATATTGATTTATTACAAAAATCTGGTAAGTATTTAGAAAATGTTAGTTTTGGGAAATATTGGTCAAATCTTAATCATCTTGCAATTCATTAAATTCATCAGATAAGTGATATATTGAAATTAGCTTAATTGTATTACAAAATTTAGGACAAATCCTACCTTAAATTAGAATATTTAGATTTAAATCTTATAATTGAAAATGCAAGTGATTTTGAAATATTTTTAAAAATTCTCTCAAAATACTTTTATTAATAGATTATGTATTAGAATTATTATTATTCGTGAAGGCGGGAATGATATTTTACATTATATAAAGGTTAAGTTAAATATTTGGGTTTTAAGGTGAATAATAATGATTTATTCGTCTTAAAAGATATATAAAGTAAAAGAATTTAAATTATATAATATTAAGGTTCAAATTTATTCTTCTTTAAGTACTGAATTTGTTTATACTTTTAAAAAAATGTATTAGTAACTAATGTATTCATTATAAAAATCATATATATTTTCTTTCTACAGATTATAATAAAATGCCCATTGACGTGACGTCGTGCCATCGCCAAATTGGCAATTAAAAGAAAAAAAAGCTTGACAGAACAATATCTTCCACTGAATTCCTAATATTGATTAATCGAAAATTGGTTCGTTTAATAATGCGTGCGAAGTTATAAAATGTACATAATTTTATTCCAAAAAAAAACTTACTAATTGACGAGAAAATTATTGCTGTTTCCATAAAATTATTAACTTGTTCAATAATAATTCTAGTAAATAATTTCTGTATACAGTATTTATTATCCATAAGACTATAACAACTGACATTGGTTAATGATTCCGTTATACTATTTCTGAACTCGTTTTCACATTGCAACTTTTTAATTTTTCCATGTCCTTTTATGTCATATTTTATGCTTTTAATGTTTCTTGACTTGGAATTTTGATTGAAAAATATATAAATTTTAACGTTTTTTATATTTTTTAAAATAAATATTTACGTATTTAAATTTTTGAACACCATAAAAAATAATTCATATATAAAGAATTTTATTTGACAATTTTATAACGAAAATATTATTCTAAACATAAAAAAATAACTGAGTAGGATAGTAGAATATTTAAGTTTATATAATTATCATCAAATTTAATAATAATAATAAAAATACTAACTATAATATCAGTACAATGATTTTTGTTCACCTAAAATTTCATTTATACAAATTTTTTACCCAATTTTATTGAAGCAAAATACTAATAAGATTACTTCTTACAATCTAATTTTGATTACATTGACATTATTGTAGAAAATTGACTATTTTGTCTATTAACAAGAGGTCATGTTCACGGGAAGTCTATAGAAGATTTTAATTAAAAGTTATTGTAAAAAATGACTTATTATTGCGTAACTAAAAAATTTATTTGACGTTTAGAATACCTCCATATAGATAATTTGTATAGCAGAAAAATTTATAATTTAGTTGCCATGTAAACATTCCGATGGCCAATTCATGTGGCTAATCCGATTCCAGTTAATAAAATTTTGATATTTTTATAGGTAATAAGTAAAATAGTGCTATACGTTGATATGAGCTCAGTACGAACGCCTTTATATTTTGATAGTACATACGTTTACATAAATTATACTAGTACTGTACTAAAAATACTTTTGTACAACTTTGGCAGTTCATCTTGGAATTTTTTTACGAAACTTTTCTCTCATCCTATTTCTTCCTAATAATTTTTTTTTCATAATTATTCTTCCAACGAACAGTTTTTACCACTATGATAAAATTTTTTAATATATACAGTCAGGGATCATGTTACAACTAAATTTTTGTATCCGGATCAGTTTCTACTAACTGTGTTTTGAACCAAATACTATAGTTATTTCTTTGAAAATTTGGAAAAAGATCCTTTTAATTTCACGAAAAAATCACAGTTTAATGTTTTGGAAAGAGTTTCTTGTTCCCTTAAGAAAATATTGATTAAAACGAAAATTGAGATAACTTCCCTAATTTTACATATCTAAATAATTTATTTTCGTTGCTTATTTCATTTTTTTAAAAAAAAACACTTTCAAGAATTTATTATTTCTCTTAAATAAATAATACTGATAACTATTAGATGCTAATATTTGACGGAAGTCACAGAACCTATATAAACATTATGCATAATAAATTTGAAAATTTGATTAGGTCCAAAGCTTTAAACTATTTAAAAAATTTTTATATAAAATAGTACTTTTTATTTTTTTTATAGAGAATAGATGTTTTTTTTACAGTGAAGATTTTCAATTTTTATTATTTTTTCGTTTATATTTACAGTTTCAGTTTTATTTTATTGTATAGTCTTTTTTTGTAATATTTTTTTAGAATTTTATTTGCATATATAAAAATTTAAGTCAACACATTTACGATTTTAAAGAAAAAAATCACTGTATTTATTTTTAATGAAGTAATACAAATAAAAAAAAACAATAACAATGAATAAAAAAGATAAGTAAATTACAATGATCAAGTAGAAAGATGCTAATAAAAATGAAGCAACAATGGAGTAATGGAAAATAATAGAAGATGAAAGGGAGTAAAAAATAGTAATGAGAAGTGATAAGAAGCAAAAAGGAGAAATAGGGCATGATGAGAGATGAAAAGTAGTGATGGGAGAAGAGGAGTGATGGGAGGTAAAAAGGAGTGATGGGAGACGAAGAGGAGTGATGGGAGACGAAAAGGAGTGATGAGAGACGAAAAGGAGTGATGAGAGACGAAAACAAGTGATGGGAGATGATGAGGAGTGATGGGAATGATGGGAGACGAAAAGAAGTGATGGGAGATGAAAAGAAGTGATGGGAGACGAAAAGAAGTGATGGAAGATGAAGAGGAGCGATGGGTGAAGAAGTGATGGGAGATGAGGAGTGATGGGAGAGGAAAAGGAGTGATGAGAAACGAAAAGAAGTGATGGGAGACGAAAAGGAGCGATGGGAGACGAAAGAAGTGATGAGAAGATGAAGAGGAGTGATGGGAGACGAAAAGGAGTGATGAGAGACAAAAAGAAATGATGGGAAATAAACAGGAGAGAAAAAGAGATAGTGGAAAATGAAAAGTAGTAATACAAAAAATAAAAAAATGATCATGATAGGAGGTTTGGTAATGATAGGAAACCAAGTAAAAAATAAAACCATAAATTAAAAAAAAAATAAAGTTAGTAAGAAATAAAATATAAGATAGAAACGAAATAAAAAAAAATAAATAAAAAGTAAAAAAACATACTTTATTAATTGTGGAACTGAAAGAACTAAATAGTATGACTGGAAATATTCAGATGTGATAGAAAATATAGTTTATACTTTAATTGATTAGATATTAGAAACTGTTTAACCAATAAAAAAAAATCAGAAAATGTACAAATATAACCGAAGTTTTTTGGATGTTGATCACACCTCTTTTCATTTTGTAGCCAATCGTTAAATTTCAAACAAGTTGATAGTCAATCATGTGATATTAGTTTATTAAATGAGACAATATCTTAGAAAAATAAAGAAACTATTAAAATAATCTAAATTGATCATACGCAAAGTTTATTATTACGATAATTGTAGACTAACATTATTTTCATATTTTCAATTTTAAATAATACATTAAAGATGATATTTGTACAAAAAGAATACAAAGATTCGTAAGTAGTATTCTAATAATTTATTGATTTTTTTAAACTTCATTTGAAAGTTTCCCCAATAACTTTTTTAAATAATGATATGAATGTTTTGAGAAATAAGTGTTTAGAATCGTAGCTAATTTTGTGAAGGCTAATATAGTAAAAATTCCCATCTATTATATTGTAAGTAATGTGGCGTCGCTGCTCTAAAATTTCTAATTATAATTTACAAAGAGATAAAATGAATTAAGTTGGTAATAATAACTTTTTGTAAGTTCACTTTTTTTTTAAAAAAAAAAACATAGCCAGTTTATGTGAACAAATTGTCCGACTAATTTGGAATTTGTGTAAAAATTGACTGTTAATCATCACGTGGGTTATGATATTGCTAAATATATCGCTTACAACGCTTTTAATAAAACATAATATGATAGAATTAATTCATGACAAGCTGGACAAGCTGACTAGTCTGACTTTTAACAGATTATTTAAAAACGCGTGATATTTCAATAACGGATAACTACGATAACTATAGCTTTTGATGATGATAATTGATTAATTGATTAATTTAATTAATTGACGCGTTTGGTAAATAATTATATAATTATAATGTCTACGCCAACTTTCATAAGCTAAACCAATCAGAATTTGAAGACAATACGCTATTTATTTGTACAAAAATTAAAAATCTCAAGTCTATTTTATTTATTTGCTGTCAATATAAAAAAATGGCTTGTCTTCATATTTTTCAGGTCTATTACAACTCGAGCCTTTCACCATGCAGCAGGTCTGTATAGTTTCTTACTGGGTTTCTTTTCGGTTCTTTGCTTAAACGTTTTTAACGAGGCCATCACTTACTTTTTTATGATTTCTTTAATTTTCTTTTTAATCTTTTTCATTTAATTATAGATTTTCATAAATCAGAAACTGGACAACTATTAGTTATTTGTATTAAGAAATTATACAATAGCAATTCAGACTTCTGCTCTATAAGGAATTTGAAAAAAAAATAGGAAGAGGTGAACATGTTACCTCCTCTTTTCATCTGGATTTTTCAAAAATATCCTGAGTCAGCTGCACATTTTTTCAGAAGGTTTATCCAATTACACTTAATATGATGTATGGTAAAATATTGGAATAACTTTTAGATTGTGTATGTACTAATTTTAATATTTATTTTTAAAATTAACTAATCAGCTGATTTCTCACTTCCTAACTGGATATTTCCCAAAGGCTGGATGAGGGTATGGCTAAAAAAGCACTGATTTATGTATATACTGAATTTATTATTCCTCACATTTTTTCATTTAAATTACCAAATATTTTTTTAGAAAGTATGGGTTAAACTCCTGAGAACATGGTTTAAATGTATCTTTTTATTTAATAGAGCAGAATTGTACAGTTTTTATGAACTTTTTTATTTTATTTATTTTTTTGTTTTATTCTCCTTATTCTTCGTTTGATGACTGGCTTATAATTGTGGCAGCATCCAGAAAATATTTAACTATATAATGTTAAGGAATGTATTATTTATTATTGTATTTTGAAGTATTAGGGGTTGGACACTTCAAATTTGATTTTTGAAAGTGAAAGAGTATGGCGAGAGTAGGGGTCATATTCAATAATTTAGTTTTGAAATGAAAAATTTTAATTAATAAATATGGGTAATTTTGCAGTGTATGAATTAACAATTTTTTCAGTATATGATATGTATTGCGATATTATTTGTATAAACAGTGTTTTCATCTCATTATAATTTATAGTTTTGCAAAAGATCCTGAATTAGAATATTATACATTAGTTATGAAATACGAGATATCATGCTTACCATATTATACTTTCCACTTTTATTGTCGAAATTTTGTAAAAATTTTACAATTAGTTAAAATTAGTTACAGTTAACTAGGAGATGGAAGTTATCAAGAGCAAAAAAATATTTCCATAAATCTCGTGAAACAAGATGGTTAATTTTAATCTTTAGAAATTGCGTGAAAATTAGTTTTTCCCATGAAATAGATGTTTAAAAATTGTTCTTATCATTAAAGTATTGTGAACTTATATAGTGTCGCAGCCGTCGTCCACAAAAATGGTATCCGGATTTATATTCTGAATCTTTGGGATTAGGTTAATGGTATTAGGGTTGTAATTTTGTTGCATAGTGTCTCATCCTAACCAGCTACCATTTTTTACGACATCTCACATGATAAATTGTCTTCCTAAAGCATAATCCTACGTTTCACTCAATAAAATATTGATAAAAATGATATATTTAAATAATTTAAATATATAGTAAGTTAACTACAAAATCGCCAGAAAACAGCCCAAATAAATAATAATAAAATATAGATAATATACATATATATTTTAAGATTTTTACGAAACAAAAAAAAATCTAATACTACTTATTTAATGCATGAAGTCACAGTATCAAACAAAAAAGTTGACTAGTAAATTGTATATCAACCGTTTTATATAGGGTTTTTTCTTATTGTTCCTATCAGAATAAATATAATTAATCAATAAATAGTTCATATTAAAATTTAAATAAACAAAATAAAAAAAATAAATACTAACCAATTCTTTTTTAATATTGCTAATATATTCTGATACTTTATGTATTCCATCATTTTCTTGATATAATTTATACCATTTTAAAGCCTTTCCTTTATTTACTGGTACTTGATTATCTAAAGTATCTATTCCATATTCATAACATATAGCTAAAGAATATTGAGAGGGTATAAATCCATTTTTAGCAGAATTTTTATATAATTCATATGCTTTAAAATTATTTTTTTGTATACCATAACCATATTCATAAAAATTTGCAAGATAATATAAGGCTATATTACATCCATTGTTAGCAGCAATTTGATAAAATTTAAATGCTTTTTTGAGATCTTTTTTAATACCATATCCATAATGATAACACCTTCCAACATGATAATAACCATTTATAACATTATGCTGACTTGCATGTGTATACCACTTAAAAGCCATATCCAAATCTTTATCGACTCCAAACCCTTTATAATGAAAAAATCCAATAATCACTTTATAATGTTGTGTAGCTTGATTATTAGCAAAATAATTCAAAATTTCGCGTGATTTTGCCTTATGATTTTCCAAAAATTTATAAAAATCGAAACTCTTTGTAAATCCATTATTGTGATATTTTAAATATGCTTGAAAAATTTCCTCTAAAAGAGTATTTGATTTTTTTTCGTTCTCATTATTTTTAGATGAAATGGGTGATGATGGTGGAGGTGTATCTAATAATACACACTAATATTATTAATAAATCATAAGCAAATCATAAATATACACGTACTTACTGGTTTGATTTTCAGTTTGATTAACGCTTTTATCCTCATTAATGTTAGACGAAACGGGTGATGATGGCGGAGGTGTATCTAATAATACAACATTAATATTATTAATAAATCTTAAGCAAATCATTAATAAATAAATATGTACTTACTAGTTTGATTTTCAGTTTGATTAACGCTTTTATCCTCATTAATGTTAGACGAAACGGATGATGATGGCGGAGGTTTATCTAATAACACAATATTAATGTTTTTAAATAAAATTTTAAACAAACCAACAATAAATAAATGTGCACTTACCAGTTTGATTTTCAGTTTGACTAACATCAGATGAGATGGATGATTTTCTTTCGTTATCAATATAAAATGAAACAGATGATAATGGTGTACCTAATAACGTATTGTCATTAGTATATGTAAACAAACATAATAACAAATAATATATTGTACTTACTGATTTGAAAATCACTTGATTTTGATGATTGAGATTCTGTTTCATTATTATTATTATTCTCAGTAATCTCCGAATAGCCTTCATTATCGGTGTTAAATTCTAAAGAAATTTTATTTAATTTATCAAAAACATCATCAATAGTTGGTCTTAAATCTGGATTATCATCCCAACATTTCTGATAAAGATCCACATAAGATGAAGGTGTGTCAATTATTGGCTGTTCTCTATAACCCATTGCGATTTTATAACCTAAAATTTGAATTGGAATGGTTGAAAAAGGCGGATATCCACTTGAAATTTCCCATAAAAGAACACCTAAACTGTAAACATCAGACTTTTTATTTCTAACATAGTTGTCAGTTTTATAACATTGTGGTTCGACATATGCTGGCATTCCATAAATTTTTGAAATTGACGTAACATCGACAGTCGTTTGTTTGGATAATCCAAGGTCCGCAATCATCAATGTATTATCATTAACTAATATATTTTTTGCATGCTATAAATAAAATAAAATGAAATAAAATTTTAGAATTTATATATTTATATTATAAAAAATAAATTTTATATTACCAAATCTCTATGAATTATTTCTCTAGAATGCAAACACTTCAATCCCAATGTAATATCCAAAGCCATTTGAATTTTGTCTTTCCATTGAAGTGAAGCAAAGTTATTTTCTAAATATTCTCTTAAATTTCCCTGATTGGCGTAGTGTAATACCATAATATAATTGTTTGATGACGGCTCTAAACCAATAATTAGTTAAAATAATTTTTTTATTTAAAAAAAAAGTATAAAATATTATATCTTTACCTTTGGTAATTCCAAAACACCGGTTTATATTTGGATGAAAATTGACCTTTCTTAAATTCTTTAACTATTTAAAATACAATAATAATAAAATTTAGGCTTAGTACTAACTACAGTATCATATTCAAAATTAATTACGTACCTCTTTAAGAAACTTGTTCATATTATCTTCATTGATTGAAGAATTGCTTGCAAGAATTTTTAATGCTACTTTACTTCTACAACTTTTCCAATCAGCTCTATTTACTATTCCGAAGGCTCCATTACCAATATTTTTCATATTGCTAAATTCATTATACTCGAAATAATTGATATCATCATCTTTTATTTTTTTGTCAATCCAATCATTTGGTGATGTCATATTTAAGAATAATGTGCAAAAGATTTAAACTTAGCCTAAATCGTTTTTTGTAAAAAAAAAAAAATTAAGCGTCTTAGGAATTTTGACTTTTTATGCTGATCAATAGCCGCAATGCTATTTTCGTTAATGAATGAAGCATGTAAGGACTGATTTTCATACGATTGTGATTTTGTTCGTAATACAAAGAGGACACGCACATGAAAGACAATCCACGTGATTTTTTCACCACCGGTGTCACACTACTATATCAAACGCACGCCATACTTAAAGCTATTTCATGACATTTTTTCGTGGTTACTTATTAAAAACTTTACGCAATTCTTAAACAAAGTACAATACAGAGGTAAAACGAGAATTTTTTGAAATAATGATGAAAACTTATAAAAGTTTGAGGCCATTATATTTATATGGACCTTACCGATTAATATTCTTGATAGGCTCTTGGTAGGTAGCTTGTTATAACGAAATGCAGAAATAACATAAATACATAATTGGTAAAAAGATTATGCAAAAAAAAAAAATTTTGGCGTTGAATTTATTCTCCGATTCCCATGTATTTATTGAAAAAGGTGAATTAATGTTATCGCGTATTTAACAAATGTGGCTTTTTGTATGATCAATCTACTTGAAACACATCACATAGATTTAAAAAATTAAGTACAGTAACTCTGTGTGATGTAAGATTTTCATGTTCCACCAAAACCATTTTACTATTTTTCCCAAGTCTAAACATATAAGCTTGTTTAAAGTAAACGATAAATCACTGTTTACAAAGTCCAAATGGGCATTTCACAATCAAGGTATGAATAAATATGCATTTGATAACATCTTTTCATACAGATTTCCAAAAACATTATTAGCATCACAGAAAAAAATATTTTTTTTCGTGTGGGTAGATGTGTATTAAAAAATGCTTTTCTTGGCAAAATTTCGCTGTCCATTTGTCAGAATGTCACATTATTTTGAATGCTTATATACAGTGCATAAAAAGAATTTTTGCTTGAAAATAGAATCCATAATTAACTTAGGAAAGAAATGCTAGAATTATGGTCAAGCAGTTTTTTTTAAAAAAAAATTGACTCGCATAAAATCTGTACTGAATGACAATTAATCAATAAAATTAATCACATGGCACCGAATTTATCGATATTTTAATACAAATAATTTACCTATAACATTATAGTTTACCTATAACATATAAAGCAAAATAAACATTTATAAATTTAATATAAGGATTATTTATTATTTCTTTAGATACATTATCTTGTCTAATACTGTATATACAGTAGAAAATATATGAAAAAAATTAATTACCAAAAAGCATGATTGTATTCTTAAAGTAGTATAAAACCGTTTAATGACTTGAGAGTAACGCGCAAAACATAATAACAATATTTGATTCAATTAGGCAATGACGTGACAGTCGTGACATGACAAAGTTTGATACAATCTTTAATGAGGGCTTGAGAAATTTTCTCCGTTAGATAGTTAATATGTAGAATATCAATAAATCAGTAACCGATTTGGCAAAGAAGTATATTGTTATAAATATAAATAAAATATTGTCTTTTCTTCATGAATCTTTAATATCAATCTTATAATTTTACATCGCTTATAGCGTCATATTAAGTTAGTACCCGCGTCATAAATCTAAGTGTAAAAGTTTTAAAATTCCTAAAATTAGTATATCTAATTTTTGCTATATATTACCAAAGTACTACAGATTTCTTGATATAATTATATAATCAGTGTTATTAGCAACGCTACAATTCATCAAGGAGTAGCTTCTGTATAATAATAACGATATGTTTATAATAAATTAAAATATTTTAACTTGGCAAGAACACAGCACGATGATCAAATAAGTTTATTATCTATACGGGAACGTACTTTTATATTAAATCAAAATATGTAATTTTATAAATTGGTGGTTAATCGATTCCATAAATCAGGTAAATATAAAAAAATCAATCCAACATAAATAATTTTCTTTTTGATTATTAATAAACTTGATTATTAATAACATACTTCTTAAATATTTTATCAAACTTATGAAAATACCTTTAGTAAGTTGTTTATTTTTGAGTATTCTTAAAAAATACTTTTTTTCCTTAATATTTTAACGGAATAATTTATAATATATTTAGTTGAAATTATCCATTCAGAAGAAAGTTCATGATTAATAGGACTAGATATTCAAAGTGTAATTATATTGTAGAGGACGAGACAATTGCAAAAATCCACTTTATGTGTTAAACAAATTGGTATATTCAAAGTTACTGGAAAAATTCCATCAAGCCGTACTTCTTATAAAGAAAATGCATGGTTATAACTTTTGGTAAATATAATATTAATACTATATTTTTTAATTTCCGATAATAGAAATACTCATTTATAAGTACATATTAAAAGGTGAAAGTTATAATCAAGATGATTTGAGTAATAATAACGAATATGTTTTGACATCATCTTTTGACCTCTATATTTTCGCAGTTCGGTGATATTTCAACCTCCCTACCCAATAATTATTTATATAATATATTTATCATTTGGGTCTGGTACAAATCCCGAATGTCAAAATCCCGAAAATCCCGAACCGGGCAGCATTATGCTTAATGTTGGCCAATATTTCGGGATTTCGTACCATTCGGGATTTTGACATTCGGGATTTTGTACGGATCCCATCAACGTCAATCAATGACAACCTAATACATAATTAAATACACATTCAGATGTTACAACTGGTATAATTATTGGATCTTTAGTTAATGACATTTTTATTAATAAATAGTTGGAACTTTTTTATTTATACAAATGGTATAAAAGCAAAAAAGAACGAAATAACCTAATAATCTAATTCATAATCAAGGATAAGAAATATCTTGATTTCTGAAAATTCATAAAATCATGTACGAGGAATAATCCCTATGACAAATAGAAATGTATAGTGAAGTATATGATTTGTAAAGATACAAGGAGTAACTTTACGATTGAACAGCAAATTTTCGAAAAAGTAATATTATTTTTATATTAAATATTATATCTTGCTATACATTACGGCGGATTTATGAAATTTTGCAAAAACTCCTGCTGCGTCCTCGGGAATTAAAATTGACTTACGCTTTTTCCCTAAAAAATATCAAATAATGACAACCTTTAACACTAGAAAAATTGGTTAGATAGTTGGAAAATTGGTTAGACGCAAGATTTGGATACAAAAAAATTTTTTGGGGCACATTTTTGACTGTTCACTAATAAATTTGGGACTTAAATAACTAAAATACTGACGAATATTTATTTGCACGATGGACAAATTTTGGGTATTTCATAAATCCGCCATGATGAAATTATAATTTATATTTAATAAATTTCCAATTTTTATTATTGACATTAAGGTCCTATAATTATCCAGACAGCATCAAATAGTAACCTTAAAGGTGAAAGAAAGAAAAAAAATGAGAGAAAATATTGGCAAAAAAAATAATTATGTAACACCGCAGTGTCAAGATCTTATATTACTTTTTTTTTTATTATTGTTATAATATTTATGTGACTTGAATCTAAGATTATGAAGGAAAAAAAAATTTAAACACAATTCGGTTTAAAAAAACCAAATCGAAAAGAAATTTAAAATATTTTTAAAAAAACTTTGGTTATAGAAAAAAAAAAACAAACAAAAAAAGGAAAAAAATCGTATAAAAAAAAACTGGAAAAAAAACTGGAAAAAAAAATTTGAAAAAAAGGTTTGGTTGGAAAAAAATAAAAAAAATGTAATTATATATATCTTTATACGATATACTATACATAAATGCGTGTTACTAAACTTTTTTTATCAGGATTGTAAGGAATAAAACTAATCAAAATTTCATTAACTATATACATAAATATATATATTTGTGTATATATATATCTGGAACTGGATTAGCCACACAAATTTTACCGATTAGTCATTGGGACTTACACATGACTCTAATAGTATCACATGTTTTCCTTATACAATTCAAATTATTTCTATGGAGGTATTCTAAACGTCAGAAGAATAATTTTTAATTGTATAGGTATGCACATCTTGATCTCATTTAGATTAGATTGCGTAATCTAAACCTTGAGAATTATCATCATATTCTGGAAGGTCATCTGTAAAAGGATTAAGTAATCGAGATGTGTAAATAGCTTGTGGATGGGTAACTACTTGGTAATTTTTAATGGATGAAAGATTTGCTTTTCTATATTCTTCTGCTTTCTTAAATTGCATTCCAATTTCTTCATTTTCTGTGGAAAAATCCACCATATATGACTTATGTAATGACTCAATTAATTTATTTATACCAAAAATATCTGGTCTATTATTCGGGTTTAAATCCCAACACTTTTTCATTAAATCAATATACCATTTTGGTGCTTCTGGTTCATTTATTTCAGGTCTAACTCCTTTACAAATATCTAATGCAAGAAGATGATCATGTGCACGATTGTAAAAAGGTTGTTTTCCAGTTGCTACAAAATACATTATCATACCAAAACTATAGATATCTGATTCCTGGGTATAAGGCCTCCTTCTCAATACTTCAGGAGCCACATAAGGCATAACTCCATAGATTTTAGTTTCATCTATATCTATATCACCAACTTTTCCACATAATCCCATATCTGAAATTAATATCCAATCCTCAAAATTATGCATTTTACTTAAAAATAATATACTTTTTTGATGAATTTCTTTAAGGCCATTAATAATATTGAGCAGTGCAAGTAGTTTATCTTTCCAATTAAAATACTCGTAGTTTTCATTTATCCAATGATTGAAATTGCCTTCTGCTGCATATTGGAGAACCATAACATATTCTTTCGTATCTGGATGTTGAGATATTCCATATATATTAAGAATATTACTTTCTATATTTATTGAGTATTTTTTAACCTATTAAATATTTAAGTAACAAAAAATAGTTAAATTTATAAAGAATTTTTCTATTAAAATGATTTTTAAAAAATTTCAT